AAAAGTTGTGTATAATCTATTGGAAAAAATGAAAAGGAAAGCAAATTTCTTATTTGTGCTGATTCTTTAAAAAAAACTCATGTGTAATTTACAAAGTACAACAAGGATATTTTAACATAGTATTATTAAAAATCACATGGCTTATGAGAATTTGATTTGGCACTTAAGTCTGAATCAGATGATGGCAGTGAGCACATTATATCTGTATCCTACATGATTTCAAGTATAAAAGAAATTAAGGTACACACACCATAAAATCATCTGCCTAAATTGAATACTAGCATAGTAAATATCCATGGTGATTCTCAATCATCCAGGTCATGGTTGTCCCAAAGGTGCTTTTTTCAAAAGGCAACTGGACTTTCTTGTTTTTGTCTTTGAAAACATTTCAAAACAGAATTGAAGAAGCTTCTTGGAGGACAAACAAAACGTTTTCAAAGAAAAACCTAAGAAAGTCTAGTTGCCTTTTGAAAAAAGCACCTTTGGGACTAGTATGGTAACTATATGAATATAATGGGGATTAATTGAGAGATGTTTTTATAAAAAATCAATACAATAGAACAAATACATTTTTATAAATTTAACTATTTAAATTTAATTAATTTAAATTTAAATTAATTTAAATTTAAAGGAGGTAAGCCACATTATAGTTAAAATTATATTCTTCTTGAAAGAACCCACAATGAAAAAAAGATAATAAAAGTACGTACTTTTATATTTTAAAAATAACTAGTTAGCAGTGCAATGACATCAAAAAACATTATGATCCTATCACAAAGGTAGGAAAAATGGTGCCTTGATGCTGAACAACCTCATTTATCTGACAAATGAATTTTTTAGATTTTTTAGATTTCTGAAATTAAAAATTAGTAGTCACACTAATTATTGATCTTTTTAACACATGTACAAGCTGCTTGTCAAAATCACATCTCAGAAAACACAAACGAAAGATCAACAGATACAGCAGCCATATTAAATGAGCATATAGCATTTCACCAGTTAGAATGGTTTTTCCCTTGTGGGTATCAATTTAATTGATTCTGGTTTTTATCTTTAAGAAAATATATTTTCAATTTGCTATTAGGTTCTCTGAATTCTTATAAGGATAATTATTATCAGATTTGCAAGAACTGAGGTACTACACCAAGAAATACAGTTTATCCAGATTTAGCATTATAAAATGAGCATTGCAAAATTAATACAGCAGTATTTTAAATTCAGCAAAGTAATTATTTTTAATCATTAAAATCATTAAGCACATCTAATAAATGTTATTGCACTTTTTCTGAAAACTTGCACAATACTTCAGTAAAGGACAGCTTTTAAATTGTAAGTCTAAGAATGACTATTGAATTGGAGCCAAAGAATTGAATGATATTGTTGAAGAATATAGACTGAAGGAACACATGTAGCTTTGGACTTTGACTATGTTTTTGGGAACAGTTACTTCATTAATATTTATTTCAAACAATTGCATTAATTTTAAAAAAACTTAAAGGAAAAAAGTAAAGTTCTGTTAGAACATTCTTGGTAAATCGAATTAAAAACCTTGTTTGACAAAGATTTTCAAAGAGATGCTTTCCGAGAAAACTGGGCAATTAGTTGGAATTTACATTTATTGTACCATATAATTAGAAAAATGGCTTTGAAGAAGAAGAAATGCTAAAAACATCATTTGCAAAGGGATTCAGAAATATGGGTATAAATCATTTGCAGTTTTTCCCAATAGGGTTGCCAGGTCTGCTTCCAAAAAATAGCGGACAAGCGGGGGGGGGGGTAAGTAGTAAAAAAAGTAGACTATACAGCTTTAGATTACATACCATTTCATCATAAAGCTTTTGAATAAAAAAAATGTCCACTATTTTGTGAAAAAAAATAGTGAACATAATGTGAAAAAAGTGGACTGTCCACTCAAATAGTGGACACCTGGCAACCCTATTTCCCAAAGTATTCCTAATGTATAACAATTCCCAAAATTTATTATAGTGCCTATGACAGTTGTTTTGGGATGTTTGTAATCAAATCAATAGATACTGTGTTTCAGATGACTACAATCAGTAAATACTTGCTTTGTACTGACTCTCTTCATAGCTTTTCATCTGAAACACAAAAACATTTGTGTAAAAACCAAGTGTCAAAATTAGTAAATGGTTCTTGAGTGATGCTAGGCTCTCTTCACCCACTTTTAACTTTCCCTTTCAGATACTGTTTTCTATTCAGTTTTCTATTCTATTTCGCACCATGACTAGCCTAAAGACACCAAGGCCTAAGGCAGAGCTAGAACTCAACAGTCTTCTGGTTTCTACGCTATCATCTTAATCAGTAATTCATACTGGCTTTCTGCTTTTACCAATCTCTAAATGTATGATTATTTTTACTTTCCTCCAGGTTGCTTACAGCAATTCAACTTGTCATTTTCCTTACTTCCTAATTGCTCCAATTATTCCTCACTTTGTTGAAAAAAAAATGGTTATGTTTGCATAACAAAATTAAACAATACTTTCCAATTTTAATGCAGTAGACAAACATAGCAAGTACTCTGAAAAGTCCTTCAGTTCATAGATATGCACAGTTGACTATCAGGAAGAAATAATAACTGATTAACAAGTAGTCTTTGACTTACACCCATTTGTTAAGCAACCATTCAAAGTTACAAAGGTACTGAAAAAGTGACTTTCAAACAATTGGAGATTTGCATAAAAATTGTGGCAAAAAAGATCATAAAATTAGGCATGACTCACTTACCAACTATTTTGCTTAACAAGGAAATTCTGATCTCAATTGTGGCCGTAAGTCAAGGATTGCCTGTATACAATTAAACAACTCTGATTAGTTTGTGGTTTTAGTGTGTTCTGTAAACTCAGCTGGTTGGTTTATGGTACTGCATTCATGAACATCTATAATATTAGGTTAATTTATTAATTATGCTCTGGATAAATACATCCTATGATTAAAGGCAACAAATCCACTGCAGCAAGGCAGATCCTCGTGAAACCTCTTCCATTGTTTCCTGTATTTCAAGCAAGTAAATTTGCAAAAGGTATAATACCCAAAGAAACCAGTCTGTCAGGTAGGCCCATACCATATCCTGGTATGAATGACTAGAACTTAGTTTTAAATGTATTTCACCAAAATATTTTAACCTTTCTGTAATGATAAGTATTTTAATGCATATTCCAGTGCTGGTAGAGCCTTACTGTGAAGATCTTCTTCAGATTATTGCCGAAAAAATGGCAGATGATTGGAAGAGCAGCAGCAAACAGGCTTGGCATAAATAACCAAAGTGCCATAGCTTCCAGAGTCTAACAGTTAAAGTTTTATGCCACCGCATTTTTAAAAACACAGATTTACATTCATGAGATAATGGCAGCTGGACGCTGCTGCAATTATAAATCTATTCTATTTACTCATTTTCTATTTAAATAGTATTTCTGCATTGCTATTGAGTCATTGTTCTTCAAATATATTAATAAGGGACCGGGTGCTGGGTTTTCACTTGTACAGAAATGCTCAAAAACAGTGAAAATAGGGTTAAAATATAAACTATTTAAAAGCATATTAACATATTTAAAAATATTTATATAATTTATCCACTGCTTCAATCCTAGTGAGTTGTAGATAGTTTGCAGATATTAAAATAATAAATATATCATTAAAATTAAACAGAGACAAACACCACAGTGTCTATGGTTCCCCAGACTCAATTCCCAAAGGTCTGCTGCACACTATGAGAATGTGAACCATCATTACTGGGGGTCCATTAATGTCCCTAGCAGGGGAGCTGCCACCAAGAATGCCCCCACTCACTGTTTCTACTGGGTGTCCTTCCCTGCAACAGTTGTGCTTAGTGTATATATTGGGCATGGAAGCACACAGACTGACTTTGATCAGATCACTTTATTTACAGGTGTGTTATGGGTAAAAAGAGTTGGGAGGGAGGGCTACCTACTCTGCCCTGAACTCTTGCATGCAAAGTAAGATATAAGACATTCCCCCCATCTCCATGAGAACACTAAATTCATGATGTAAAAATTTTGTAACTGCACCATTAAGCAACGCATTTTCCCCTATTTCCACTTGACAAGCTCAAAATAAAGCTAAAATTAAACCTTATTTGGCTCTGAAGTACCACCCTGATGTATTGTTTAAAGGCAATAAGTTTCAAACTTGGCAACATTAAAATACTGGGACTTCATCTCCCAGAATTCACCAGGCATCATGCCAGTTGAGAGCAAGTTTGATCTAGTGGTTAAGGTACATGGCTAGAAAAGCAGGAGACTCTGAGTTCAAACGCAGATAGATGACCTTGGATCAGTCATTCTCTCAGCGCCCAACTCACTTTATAAATGTGTGTTGGATGTTTGCTGCCTTATTATTTGTAAAAATAATACAGATGGAGTATAATATTTAAAAACCATGTTTAAAAAACACTGATTTAAGGCAAGTTTTCTCAAACAATGGGGTTTGCTTTTGAAAACAGACTGGTTTAGCTGAAGTAGCATTTTTTGGGGGTAAAAAATTATTTTACCAATGGGCAGTTGCTTTACCCTGCAGTTTTAGAATCTCTGTGATATATATATATTTATTTCTTGCCCAATTCTAGCATTCATGGAATTATTAGTTTATTTTTGTCATGATTCAGGTACATTTTACATTCAGGGAGTTGCTGTATTGCAATTTAATCACAGGTATTGATCTAAGAACTGGCAATCCAAGTTTACATTCACTAGCCAAAGCGACCTTGGGCCAATCCCTCTCAGCCCAAACTACCCACAGGGTTGTTGTTGAGAAAGTAGGTGGCTGGAGCTCTCTGTCTCCAGCCACCAAAGTAAAAACAAAAAAACAAAAACAGAATGGCGAGGTAGTAAAATGATGAAACGAGCTCGCCCGCCGAAAGAACCATCCCTTCCCGGGTTGCCGCCTTGCGGGGCTTCTCCACAAAGCCTCGAGGTGGTTCTTAGAGCGGCGGCGCGGACGTCACTTTCCCCGGCCGCATGTTTACGTGGAGCTGAAGATGGCGGCGCCGGTGGGTGAACCGCGGCGCCTTCAGACTCCGTAGACGGGCAGGGCGCGAGTTGCTGACGCCGAGCGAGAGAGACCTTTCGGAGGCTTAGGGCAAGTTCCCCTTCTGGGTTTAGTTGGATGCACCGTAACTGTCTTGTCTCCCGCGCAGGAGCCATGGACGAGCAGGAGAGGCAGAAGAAGCTGGAGGCCGGCAAAGCCAAGGTAAGATGAGAAGTGAGTGCGGGGTGGGAAGGCTACCAGGTGGCAGGCCTGGATACGGCCGCAGGTGGTGGGTGGGTAGGTAGATGGGGGGAGAAGTAGGGGGTGGCGGGCAGCTTGTGGTTCATGGGGTAAGGAACATATAGCTTGCCTGTGTCCCGCCCCTTTTCCGTTAGTAAAAATATATAGCTTGCCCGTCCGCCCCCTTTCCGCTGTCATGAGCGGCGACGGAGTTGTTAAGGCTCAATCTCGGATGGCTGAGGGAGCGAGGCGTTCCCTGGCGACTTTTCCATGTTGCGATTTCCTTTGTGCACGATTCTTTGTGTGTCTGTCTGTGTGTGTGTGGTGTGGGAGAAGGAGTGTCATGGAAGTGTCATAGCATTTGGATCTGTGCACATTGTAGGATCCAGAGCAAGAGCCTTTTCTCTGCTTGTGATACGTATCGGGAACAGCTGTTGCTGTTGGCAAGAGGTTGTACATACCATTGGAAATGCCACAGGTCCCAACTGGTATTTCTATTTTAGAAGCGCAAGAAGAGCAAGGGATCGCATAGGGCTGGAGAGATCGCAAGTTATTCTATCTTGCTCTATAAATAGGTGCCTTAAAAACCAAGACAAAACTACTGCCCTAAATCAGGTTTATAATGTAAACGCACTGTACAGCAGACAAGATGAATAAGGTCACTGTAAAATTGATAATTAAACCTCTATACACCGCTGCAACCTCTATTAGTTGGAATGTAAGCTCTGTTCATAGTAGAGGTTTATAATGTCTAATTATTTAGCTGCAGTAAGGGGATTGAATATATAAATGGCTTCTCAGTATGCCTTATAGCATACTGTACTTTTGGGATACCTAAATAGGCCAGTGAGCTCATAATTGCAAGTAATTTGACCACTACATGGATTGCATTGTTAATTTAAGAGTAAAATTAAAATCATTTTGCCTGCACTGCAGTTTATGTTATAAAAGGCACATTCCTGTGCATCATATAGTTGTAATTTTTTTAAAAAAATGTGGAAAATGTATAACATTTTCAATGTGCATAATGCTTGACAAGAGTTTAATTATGAGATACCTGTAAATAACTACAACAATGTTCTTTTCAACATCTTTGTGTGTTAGGTTTAAAACACTCTGCATTGCTGAATTCAGATGATGAGTTCTTTAATTTCTGAAGTAATTTTAATTTGAATCTTTTTATTCAATCCATAAATATATATATCTGAAATTTAAGCAGGGATAAATGGAAAGTTTAGTTTAATTTTATAAACAAATAACTAAGTTTTTAACTAGATTTGGGAGATCTAGGGAGAAAGAAGTTAGAACTATAGGTAGTTGATTACGGGGGTCATTAAGTGAATAGAGTCCTAGATAAGGAGCATAGGATGCTTGGAGATGGGGAGACCTAGTAGGCTCCAATCAAGAACTAAAAATCCTTGCTTCTGAAAGCCAAACAGGATTCTCAGTCCTAAGAGAAATTTGTATGTGGCCTGCTCTGAGCCTCCCAGGACTTTCTTCTCCTGCTTAAGGCACTCCACATTCTTTACTGCGCTGCTTCAGCACCCAGGAGTTAAAAGTCCTGCTTGGATTTTGGCTCCCTCTTGTTTCTAAGGCCTGGCTGAAAGAGCTGCCAACTGAAGGGAAGCCTTCAGTGGGGGCAAGCACAGAGCTCAAATCATCAGGATCTGAGCTTTGTTTTTGCACCCTCAGCCGGATGTCAACATACAAAGAATGATTGCAGGAATTGGATATGTCTTCTTCTTCTTGTGCCATATCCGTTATCGGACGTTGGCGATCATGTTGGCGATCTTGTTTTTATCAGCAACCGCACGAAAAAGTGCTGCTGACTTTTGTCCAAACCAGTCCCTTAGATTTTGAAGCAATGATGTTCTTCTGCCTGGACCTCGTTTGCCTTCAATCTTTCCCTGGAGGATTAAATGGAGTATGCCGTATTTATCTGAGTGTCGCATCACATGTCCGAAATATTCTAATTTTTAATTGTTTTGATGATTTCCCTTGGCTTTCCAAGGCGGTTTATCACCTCCTCATTTCTGATCTTGTCAACCCAGCTTATACGTAACAGCTGCCTGTAAATCCACATTTCAAAAGTTTCTAGTCTCTTCAGGTGGCCTTCTGTCAGAGACCAACTCTGTATACTCCATAGAGCAGGATAGAAAAAATATAGCATCTGACAAGCCTGATTTTCATTTTGAAGAATGCTGTTTGGGCTTTCTCTATCCTTGTCTTTACTTCAGTGGTCATGTCCCAGCTTTCATGTAGATTAGAACCGAGGTACGTGATCCTTTCAGCTGGATATGTATAGTCTAATGAAAAGAAGGATTATGGGGTGACATAATAGCATGTCCCAATACCTAAAGGGCTGCAACAAAGAAGAGAGAGTCAACCTATTCTCCAAAGCACTTGAAGGCAGGGCAAGAAGCAATGGATGAAAACTAATCAAGAAGAACTAAGGAGAAATTCCCTGACAATAAAAGCAATTAATCAGTGGAACAACTTACCTTCAGAAGTAGTGGGTGCTCTATCACTGGAGGTTTTTAAGAAGATATTGGGTAGCAATTTATCTGAAGTGGTATAGGGCAGGCATGTCAAACTCGTGACGTCATGCGACGTATCGCGACTTTTTCCCCATTGCCAGCAATGGGATGGGCGCAGTTTCGGCGTGACTTATCCTGCCCCGGGCCGGCAGTTTCACATGCCTGGTATAGGGTTTCCTGCTTGAGCAGGGGGTTGGGCTATAAGGTCTCCAATTCTGTTCTTCTATTAAGTTCTGTTAATCTCTCCTCCATTCAGAAGGCAACTCCTTCCATAGGATGTGGAAACAGACCTCAAATCATCAGGCTCTGAGTTCTATTTTTCCATCCTGCCAAAGTTCATCTCTCCTCCACTATGGAAGGGACCTCTTTTAGTAGGATGGAGAAACAGAACTCCAATCTTCAGGATTTGAGCTCCATTTCTGCCCCGCTGTTAGTTCCCCACACAGAAGGGAACTTCTACCGCAAGGTGTGGAAAAAAGAGTTCAAATTATCATGATTTGAGGTTTGTTTCTCCATTTTTATTGAAGTAGTTCAGCTCTTCCATGCATGGAAGGGAACTCCTTCAGTGGGATACGGGAATCTGAGTTCCATTTTTTTCCAATCCATGAAAAGAATTCAGCTCTTAACTGGCAGCTCTTTCAGTCAGCTCCCAAACATGAGAGTCCTCTCAGCAGGTGGCAACAGCTTGCAAATTTCCTTCCCAGCTTCCCAATTGACTTTCTGGGAAAGCCAACAGAGGAAATTGCAAATGGCAATCACATGATCATGCAACCCTTGGCAACCAGTCTTAAGTGTGAAAAGCTTGCCAAACAACAAACTTACAATTCTATAATGGCTGAAAATTCTGGCCATAAAGAATCTTTTCCAGGGTTTTGATAACTTTGAATAATAACCAATCTCTAATCAATCATAAATTGAGCACCACCTGTAGATCTGATTACTTAGAAAGGAGGCCACTGGGAAATTGCAAGCCTGTAGCCTAATTGGAGAAGATGCAAAAAAATCCTGGAAAAATGCAGTGGAAAATGTCTTTCGTATTGTTGCTAAGAATATAATATGGAGTCTCTGGAAATTCTCAGTCATCCAAGTCATGGCTGTCCCAAAGGTGCTTTTTCAAAAGGCAACTGGACTTTCTTTCTTTTTCCTTGAAGATGTTTCGCTTCTCATCCAAGAAGCTTCTTCGGTTCTTCTTAAGAAATGTCTGTGAAGTTAATCACAGGAGTTGTTACTTTTAATCTGTGTTACATTAAAATCTTCATAATATGCTTTGCCATACTTGAAAATATTCAAAACAAAACATTGAAAGCATATAACCAATACACTATATTTTTCAGAAAATTGGTTTGATGTAAAATCTAGAGATAGAGAGACCATGAGTTCTAGTTCTACTTGCATAAAGCCAGCTGGGTGGCCTTGAGCAGTCACTTTCTATTGTCTTAGGAAGGAGGCAGAGGCAAATCACTTTCAGAAAATCTTGCCAAGAAAGCTGCAGAGACTTTTCACTATGAGTTAAAACTGGCTTGAAGGCACAAAAACAGAAAGTATATTTATCCAACCTGCAAATTAAACATTTGTGAATCTTATTGCTATTTAAAATGGTAAGTTATTATTAACAAATAATTCATATTCTGTAACTTTACCTAATCTCTGTTTATTTTTCATCAATTTTCTATTTTAACTGGCTTTATATTCACTTATACTATCTTCACCCAGAGGACCACTAATGATATTCTTCCAATTATCTGGCACTGATAATCTTGAACACATTTGTCAAGCAAATTGCACAATTATTCCAGAAGCAACTCACACCCATAATTTAACATTTCTCCACACAATTTTTCAAAGCAAAATAATAAAGTAAAATAAAATAACCACCACAGTGCTTTGTGCAGCTCTGTGTTCATTTATTTTATTCTTTGCAATAAATGTTCATGTGGATGAATTTGGTACCAGAGACTGCACTAAAAGGGAGCCTGTTTCTATGCTAGTTAATTTCTAGAATTCAGTTTATTTTTCTACACTTTCTCACATATATGCAATAAAGTAGACCACAACCTACTCCTTGGTAAGCTAGAAAAAGGTGGAATAGACAACATCACCACCAGATGGAGCTGTAGCTGTTGGCAAACCATACTCAACGAGTCAACGGCACTACATCCACATGGAAAGAAGTAAGCAGTGGGATACCACAAGGTTCCATCTTAGGTCCAGTACTCTTCAATATCTTCATCAGTGACTTAGATGAGGGAATTGAAGGGGAACTCATCAGATTTGCAGATGACACCAAACTGGTAGAAGTAGCCAACACCCCAGAAGACCAACTCAGGATCCAAAAAGATCTTGACAAACTTGAACAATGGGTCCTATCCATTTCAATGCAGAGAAAAGCAAAGTTTTACATTTAGGTAGGAAAAATCAAAGGTACAAGTACAGATTGGGCAAACT